TCGAGACCCACCTGGGCAACTTGGTGAGACCTCATCTCTACAATAAAATCAAAAATTAGCTGAGCATGGTAGCACGCAACTGTAGTTCCAGCTACTTGGAAGGCTGAGGCGGAAGGATTGCTGGAGCCCAGCAGGTCGAGGCTGTGGTGGCCGGGAGCGGCCACTGCACTCCATTCTGGGTGACAGAGTGAGACTCCAGCTCAAAAAAAAACAAAAGAAAAAAAAAAAAACACAGACTGGGCTCAGTGGCTCAGCCTGTAATCCCAGCACTTTGGGCGACCAAGGCGAGTGGATTGCCTGAGCCTGCGGGTTCCAGACCCACCCAGGCAACTTGGCAAGACCTCGTCTCTACAATAAATACTGAGGTAGAAGGATCGCTGGACCCCAGCAGGGTGAGGCTGCAGAGGCCGGGAGCGTGCCACTGTACTCTAGTCTGGGAGACAGAGTGAGACTCCAACCCCCTCCTCCCAAAAAAAGAGAGAATGACCTTTTATAGTATCCTTAGACATTTTCTCTAATTTTCAGACTCTTTGTGACTTAGCACTGAGCTACCTGTTTATTATAGAAGAAGGCATACACTGATCTAAAACTACTTTCGTTACTGCTAGGTTACCTGAAAAATCAAGAGATAGGGGACACAGACAGATGAATTTAACCCAGATCAGTAACGGCAGTGAAACTTAATGTACACAATAAGTATTTGTGCCTTGGAGATGGAATGTCCAATGACATTTGTATCTTACATGGGTTGAAAGGTGCTGCACCTCAAGTATGGGTGGAGATAAAGATAGATATGCTTGGGACAATTGTATTAGCTCTCTCAAAGTTGCTTTGGTGATTTCTGTAATGGCACATGTCAACGTTTAGACCAAGGCCAGGCATGGTGGCGCACACCTTTTATCCCAGCACTTTGGGAGGCAGAGGTGAGAGAATTGCCTTTTCCCAGTGGTTCAACACCAGCCTGGAGAACTTCACGAAACCTTGTCTCTACAGAAAATCAAAAAAATTACCTGGGCATGGTGGCACACTCCTGTGGTTCCAAGTACTTGAAAAGCTGAGGCAGAAGGATTGCCTGAACCCAGCAGGTCAAGGCTGCTGTGACCGTGAGTTTGCCACTGCGCTCCAGCCTGGGCAGTAGAGTAAGACTCTGACTCAAAGAAAATGAAAACAAAGGTTAAATTAGGCAGTGGCTCACACCTCTGTAATCCTAGCGCTTTGAGAGGCTGAGGAGAGAGAATTGCTTGAGCCCAGAAGTTCGAGACCAGGGTAGGCAAGATAGTGAGACCTTGTCTCAACAAAAATAAAAATAAAAGTAGCTGGGCATGATGGCACGCACCTGTAGTCCCAACTACTCGGAAGACTGAGACAGAGGAATGGTCTTTACTTGAACCTAGAGGGTCAAGGCTGCAGTGAGCCATAATTGTGCCACTGCCTTCCAATCTGGGTGACAGGAAAAAACCTAAATTCAAAAAAAAGATAAAGGTTAAAAGTTAAGATAAAATGGCCAGGCTCGGTGACTCATCCTGTAATCCCACACTTTGGGAGGCCGAGGTGAGTGGATTGCCTGAGCCCACGGGTTCAAGACCTGCCTGGGAAACTTGGCAAGACCTCATCTCTACAATAAATCAAAAATTAGCCGGGCGTGGTAGCACTTGCCTGTAATTCCGGCTGCTTGGAAGGCTGACGCGGAAGGATCGCCGGAGCCTAGCAGGTCGAGGCTGCAGTGGCCACTGCACTCCAGTCTGGGCGACGGAGTGAGACTCTAACTCAAAAAAAAAAGTTAAGATAAAATTTACTAATGCTAATGCTTTGTGGCATAGAAAAAAGCTCATGTAAGCAGATTCTGGTCCTGGCCTTATTACTTGTTTTCCCAGCCTGCTTGGCCTCCCCACCTTATGCATTGTCCCTCCTGTTCCCCACCACTGCAGCTTACTCCAGGACTGTTGGAATAGAACCTACCTGTATGTCAATAAGCAACAGTGGAAGCAAAAGAGAAAAAAAATGAAAAAGAAAATGCTCATGTATTGCTGTTGATCCTTTTGAAAACCCACTGTCTTTGAGCGTTTCTTTCCCTTCTCATACAAGATATCATGGACTGGTCTTATACTTTACTTGACATAAACTTGGAAGAAACTATTTCTTCCAGGAAATTAGGGTTCATTTCAGTGGAAACCAAGATTTGAGCACTAGGTGTGTTCACCACTGCTACTATGTGCAATGATTCAATGAACAGCTCTAGAAACCTTTTTCTTTTTTTTCCTTTTTTTTTTTTTGAGTTGGAGTCTCTTTCGCCCAGGCTGGAGTATAGTGGCACGCACGCTCACAGCCATCCCATCGTCGACCTTCTGGGCTCTAGTGATCCTTCCACCACAGCTTTCCAAGTAGCTGTAACTACAGGCACATGCTACCACACCCGGCTGTTTTTTATTTTATTGTAGAGGCAAGGTCTCATCATGTTGCCGGGACTGGTCTCAAACCTGCGGGCTCCCAAAGTGTGAAATTACTATATGTGTGAGCCACGCCTGGCTTCTAGGAAACATTTTAACACGATTTTAAAGAAAACTTTTGAAATTGAGTTTATACTGATATTTTTAGTTAAAATTTAACACTAAATGTTGACTTACAGTTTATTTTGAGTTGGAGTCTCACTCTATCCCTCAGTCTGGAGTGCAGTGTCACGCTCATGGCCACCGCATTCTCAGCTTACTAGGCTCAGGTGATCCTTCCGCCTCAGCCTTCCAAGACTAGGTGGGACTATAGATGCACACCCACCAAATCAGGCTAATTATCACAGAGACAAGGTCTTGCTATATTGCTCATGCTGGTTGCGAACTCCTGAACTCAGGCATTCCTCCTCAGCCTCTGAAAGTGCTGGGATTACAGGTGTGTACCCCCTGTGGCTGGCCTATTTTGTATTTTTGACACTTCTCCTGTAGTCAAAATTTTTGTCCCTAATGTATTTGTCTAATGCTACAATATACATAAAATTGTTACAGCATTATAATACCGTAAGAACAATATATCCTTTGTATAGTTTAAAGGGTTTTTGTTTTATATGCAGTCAAAATAACTATTTTGAAAGTTTCCAAATTCATTTTTTCTGTGTAGCTTATGTTCTCAGTATAATACACAACTGCTTTTTACTTGTATTCATGTTTAGGATTTGCTTTATTTTCATCCTTTCTGATTTAATTTCACTTTTTGAGTATATAAAACATTTACATGTATGAGTAGTCAAGACTTCAGTTAAAAGACATACTAAAAGAACTCTCAAGGCTGGACATGGTGGGTCACGCCTATAATTCCAGCACTTTGGGAGGCCGAGGCAAGTGGATTGCCTGGGCTCAAGACCAGCCCGGGCAACTTGGTGAGACCTTGTCTCTACAATAAATCAAAAAAGAAAATTAGCCGGACATGGTGGTGCACTCCCATAGTCCCAGCTGCTTGGAGGACTGAGGTGGAAGGATCTCCTGAACCCAGTAGGTCTAGACTGCAGTGGCCGTGAGCGTGTCACTGTACTCCAGCCTGGGCAACAGAGTGAGACTCCGACTCAAAAAAGAAAAAAAAAACTCTATTTTTTTTTTTTGAGTTGGAGTCTTATTCTGTCACCCAGGTTGGCGTGCACTGGCACACTCACAGCCACCCCAGCGTTGACCTGCTGGGCTCTGGCAATCCTTCCTCCTCCTTAGCCTTCCAAGTATGGAGCTACAGTTGCACGCTACCACACCTGGCTCCCAAAGTGCTGGGATTACAGACTGAGCCACTAAGCCTGACCAGAACTCTCATTCTCCTCTACCCCATTCTCACCTACCCCTGCCAACCTTTAATTTCTGATTTCTGTTCTTTTTTTTCCCCCAGAGAGTATGCACACATGTATTTTCTGTATTACATAGAGAGTAACATTCTAAATACACATCATGTAAACCCTAGTTTTGATGAGTTGAAAGTTGTGACTTTACATGCTATTTTTTAAATGTGATGATATTCCGAATTATGAATGTTTTTTTTTGTTTTGGTTGTTTGTTTTAAGAAGTAAGATCTCAACTGGGCGTAGTGTCTTACACACCTGTAATCCCAACACTTTGGGAGTTGGAGTCAAGAGGATTGCCTGAGTCCAGGGGTTCGAGACTAGCCTGGGCAACATGATGAGACCAGGTCGCTACAATAAATCAAAAAATTAGCAGGGTGTGGTAGCACACACCTGTAGTTCCAGCTACTTTGAAACTGAGGCAGAAGGATTGCCTGAGCCCAACAGGTCAAGGCTCCAGTGGCCGTGAGTGTGCCACTGCGCTCCAGCCTAGGTGACAGAGTGAGTCTCCCAGTCAAAAAATACAAACAACTTGCGTCTATAGTTATGGCTACTCTGAGGCGGAAGGATCGCTGGAGCCTAGAAAGTTGACGCTGGGGAGGCCATGAGTGTGTGTGCCACTGCACTCCAACCTGGGCAAAGGAGTGAGACTCCAACTCAAAAAAAAAAAAACCAGCCGAGCTCGGTGGCTCAGCCTGTAATCCCACGCTTTTGGGAGGCTGAGGTGAGTGGATTGCCTGAGCCCGTGGGTTCGAGACACGCCTGGGCAGGCGAGACCTCATCTCTACAATAAGTCAAAAAATTAGCCGGGCGTAGTAGCACGCGCCTGTAGTTCCAGCTATTTGGAAGGCTGAGGCGGAAGGATCGCCAGAGTCCAGCAGGTCGAGGCTGCAGTGGCCGGGAGCAGCCACTGCACTCCAGTCTGAGCGACAGAGTGAGACTCCAACTCAAAAAAAAAAAAACAAACAGAAAAGAGAGATAAGATCTCACTCAATTATTGCCCATGCTGGAATGCAATGCCTCAAAGTAGCTCACTGTAACCTTCTTGTCCTGGTTTCAGGCAATCCTACCTCAGCCTCCCAAGTAGCTGGGACTACAGGTGCACACCACTGCCCCTGGCTAATTTACTTTTCTTTTTTTTTTGTAGAGATGGGTTCTCATTAGGTTGCCCTGGCTGCTCTCAAACTCCTGGCTTCAAGTGATTCTCCTTTTAATTTCTCAAAGTACTGGGATTATGGGCATGAGCCACTGCATCCATCCTTTTGTTTTATTTTGTTTTGTCATTTTTAAACTTTTTTTTTTGGAAGAGTAGCTTTACAGTTACCATGTTTTTATAGAGATTACCAAGGGTGGAACATAGTAATTGATTGATTATGGAAAGTTTATAGTTAATAGTTAACTTAGGCCGGGCTTGGTTGCTCAGCCTGGAATCCCAGCACTTTGGGAGGCTGAGGCAAGTGGATTGCCTGAGCCTGAAGGTTCGAGACCAACCCAGGCAACTTGGCAAGACCTCGTCTCTACAATAAATCAAAAATTGACCGGGCATGGTAGCACGTACCTGTAGTTCAGCTACATGGAAGACTGAGGCAGAAGGATGGCTGGAGCCCAGCAGATAAAATGCTGGCATGGCCATGAGTGTGCCATTGCACTCCAGGGTGGGTTACAGAGTGAGACTCCAACACACACAAAAAAGGTAGTTAACTTAAGTGACTTCTAGTAACAATTCTTTATTTATTTAATCCTTTTTTAAAAATGTGATTGTTTATTTGTTTATTTACTTTTTGATTTGGAGTCTCACTCCATCGCCCAGGCTGGAGTGCAGTGGCACACTCACAGCCACCCCAGCGTCGACCTGCTGGGCTCTGGCATTCCTTCCGCCTCAGCCTTCCAAGTAGCCAGAACTATAGGCGCACGCTACCATGCCTGGCTAATTTTTGATTTATTGTAGAGACAAGGTCTTGCCAAGCCAAGTTACCTGGTCTGGTCTCGAACTCATGGGCTCAGGCAATCCTCTCGCTTTTGTCTCCAAAGTGCTGAAATTATAGACTGAGCCACCGTGCCCAACCTTCCCCTCCATTTTCTTTTTTTTTTTTTTGAGTTGGAGTCTCACTCTGTCACCAGACTCTGTCCCGGCCACCGCAGCCTTGACCTGCTGGGCTCCGGCGATCCTTCCACCTCAGCCTTCCAAGTAGCCAAAATTACAGGCATGCGCCACCACGCCCAGCTGATTTTTTGATTTATTATAGAGATGAGATCTCGCTGCCCAGACGGGTCTCAAACCCGTGGGCTCAGGCAATCCACTCACCTCAGCCTCCCAAAGGCGCGGGATTACAGTCTGAGCCACCGAGCCCAGCTCCCTTTTTTTTTAATAAGGAATGGCGACATCATGTCACATAGATGAGTATGTATACAAGACTCCTAAAATGAGTTTAAATCTGTTTCAGACTTCTGGGCCATTGGGAAGAAGCAGCCCATGATCTTGCTCTTGCCTGTAAATTGGATTATGATGAAGACGCTAGTGCAATGCTGAAAGAAGTTCAACCTAGGGTATGTTAAAGTAGAAATAGAAAAAGTCAGTAGTGTAATAGTCCATTGCTTTAGTGCTTAGCCCCTGATAGCCATAATTTACCTAAAAAATAGATACAAAGAAACATTTTGGAAATAGTATAATCTGTAATCATTGAAGTTTATACTCAACTCTGGAGATCTCATTAGCTTTTCATGCTTTTATTTTCATGGAGCATTAGAGCAAGCTGTTACTTTGTTTACAAGCCTACAGTGGAATTTTTTTGTTTTTTAGATTGGAAGATTAGAAAGTAAATGAGGGAGAGAGGCTGGGGAGATTCACCTCCCTGAGGTAGGGGAAGCAGCCAAAGCTTGGGGAAACTTGGCAACCTTAGCTAAAAGAGCCATGTGCCCCGACCAGAGCTTAGCAAAGCAGTGGCCTACAGTAGAATCATAACCAGAAAATTTGAAATGGAAAAGAGGATATCTGGTTTACAACAAGGTAAAAAATAGAAAATCTATTATAATTATCTATCATGACCCAAGATTGAGTCTGGTGTGTCCTTATACATCATAGGTGTATACAGCCACTTTATATAGCATGAAAGCCTTGTTGAAGTTAAGAATAAGATAATTTTTAACTAAAATTTTTCTTTACGATAATTGTAATGTATTTACATGGTAAATCCTCAGTTGTGTGAGCAGTTACACTATCATTAATTTGCTCCCAGAGATTTTAAGATAGTGGAAATTTTTTTTTTCTTTGAGTCAGAGTCTCACTCTGTTGCCCAGGCTGTAGTTCAGTGGCACACTCACGGCCACCGCAGCTTTAACCTGTTTGGCTAAGGTGATCCTTCCGCCTCAGCCTTCCAAGTAGCTGGAACTACAGAGCACACGCCACCACACCTAGCTAATTTTTTGATTTATTGTAGAGATGAGGTCTCATCAATTTGCCCAGACTGGTCTGGAACCCGTGGGCTCAGGCAGTCCTTTCACCTCGGCCTCCCAAAGCACTGGGATTATAGGCATGAGCCACTGCGCCTGGCCAATAGTGGAAATTTTATTGAATTTACCTTACCTACTGCTAGAGATTTCATTTGATTTTCTTCTTTCTTTCTCATAGCAGGGCTATCTCATTGAAACTGTAAACAAGCTAAAGTAACAGTTGAATATGAATTCCTTACATTTATTTTATTCCCCGGATAAATAACAGATCCAAAGCATTTAATACTGACTGACACACACGCACACTGACATGTGTTTTCTCTGTTAATCTCTGTAGTAATTTGATAAAACCAAATATTTCTTTCCTCGTCCCCATTTTATAGATGAAGAAACATGAATATAGAGTGTGGCAAATACCTAGAGTATGTTCCCAGTCTGCCTTTCCCATAGCAAACATCATTGACACTGTTCCTACTGAACTCAGCTGTAATTTCGGAATCCTTAACACTTTGCAGCTGGTAGAAACTATTAGGCAAAAATTGTCATGCAAATTGACAAATTGACCTCTAAAAAGTTTTATTCTATTCCTCATCCTTGAGTTTAGTTAATTGTTAGAAATTGAGACATTTCTCTAACTTCAAATCCTAGGCTCTTTCCTCTATTTTACAGTGCCTCAAACAGTTGAGGTTGGTCTTGTTAAAGCCATTTGTCCGAACTAGGTGTTGAGTTAACATCTTTCTGCAAAGAAAAGTAACTCTTAGCAAAACTGTTTATTTGTGTTGACCTTACTCAACTTTTAGTGCATGCTTTTTTCCTCTGGCTCTTTTTTTAATAGGCCCAGAAAATTGCAGAACATCGGCGAAAGTATGAACGAAAACGTGAAGAGCGAGAGATCAAAGAAAGACTAGAAAGGGTTAAGAAGGCTCGGGAAGAGCATGAGAGGGCCCAAAGGGTAAGTTTTCCATAGCTAAGCCATGAAAGGAAAATATACTAGATTATAGTTTTTAGAGTCCCATTCAAATTCCTGGTTGCTTGCTTGCTGATTGATTGATTTGATTGATTGCGTCAGTGTCCCTCTGTCTCCTTGGCTGGAGTGCAGTGGCACGGTCACAGCCACTGCAGCCTTGACCTGCTGCACTCAGGCAATCCTTCCACCTCAGCCTTGCAGGTAGCTGGAATTACAGGTGTGTGCTGTCACGCCTGGCTTATTTATTTATTTATTTTTAGTTGTAGAGACGAGGTCATGCCAAGTTGCTCGGGCTGGTTCGAACACCTGAGCTCAGACAGTCCTCTCGCCTCAGCTTCCCAAAGTGCTGGGATTAACAGGCTTGAGCCACCATATCCAGCCTTACTTTCCAACATTGTTGAATGAAAGAACATAAAGCTTATTACAATCATATAACATTTTACATACTGTTTTTGTCATTTAATTATACTTGATATTTAGAGTTACAGCTTAGGATTTATTGAGAGGACAGAAAAGCTCCCACAATGGGAGGGGACCCGAGAGGGTTGCCGTAGTTTATAATTTTTGAAAGTAATTTTTACATTTATATATCTTATTATACCTCCTTAATGTTATAAAACATGAAGGAAATTTACCTTTCATTTTTCTCTTTTAAAAAACATAGCAAGCCGGGCTTAGTGGCTCAGCCTGTAATCCCGCGCTTTTGGGAGGCTGAGGTGAGTGGATTGCCCGAGCCCGCAGGTTCGTGACCCGCCTGGGCAGCGATACATCATCTCTACAATAAATCAAAAAATCAGCTGGGCATGGTAGCGCATGCCTGTAATTCCGGCTACTCGGAAGGCTGAGGCGGAAGGATTGCCGGAGCCCAGCAGGTCGAGGCTGCGGTGACCGGGAGCGGCCACTGCACTCCAGTCTGGGTGACAGAGTGAGACTCCAACTCAAAAAAAAAAAAAAAAACCCACAGCAAAAACAAATCAATATATTTCCATATGTTGATGTTGAGTTATATAGGAAGGGCATAAAAAAGATGTATCTAGGAAACAAAAGTCATAGACCTATTGGCAGTCTGCCTATGTCCTATGTGTTGGCAATCTGCTCATGTCCTTTCAGTGTAGAGTTTTAAAAATAGGAATAATTTAGGGTTTTCATATTTATACTTTAAATTTTTTTTCCCCCAGATTTGTTTGGTTGTTTCCAGACGAGAAGTAAAACACTCTACTTGAAATGACCACCAAGATTATATTCATTGAGAATTGAGTTGACAAATTTTTTGCGGGGGTGGGCAATGGGATATGTCCTTTAGTTATTTATTGTCATTTACTGGTTTATTTTACAGTTTTTTTCATGATTGTGCATGGGCAGCAGGCTTTTTTTTTCCTCTTGTTTTATTATTTATTTCCTTTTTCTGTTAAAGGAGGAAGAAGCCAGACGACAGTCGGGAGCTCAGTATGGTTCTTTTCCAGGTATATTTAAAGAAAAATTAAAACTTTTAGTATTGTAAATAATTAGGGTATATTCTGATTTGGGAGCTCGAATATATATAAACATATATAAAAAGAGAAATATTTGTATACTAAGTATATTTGGTACCATTAGTCCTTGGTACACTGAAGAGTCTTCAGAATATTAACCTCTAGAAAGTTTTGTTCTTACTTTAAAATTTTATGTTAGTGGGAATACAGGGTTTTTTTTTAATCATAATTTGAGTTGTGTGTATTTTTTAAATAGCCAGTATTTATGGGGATGTGCATTTGGTACTTTATTACCCCTTTGCACTCAGATTGTCCCCTTCCCTCTGAAGGGACATCATAAATCCAGCAAACCACTTGCATGTCTCCTCTCAGGGGACATAAAGAGATTGCTGTTGATTTTATAAGACAAATTTAAATAACCACAAATTGTTCAAAAATGTATATTTTCCATTTAAAAATAATGAAAGACCTGTGTCCCATGTGAAAATTTGTCAAACTTCAGATTGGTCAGTTGAGAAGTGGTTTTCAGGAATCATAAGTACATCCTTCCACATTGTCTTTGAACAACAGACTGGACAATAAATTATATATTATTATAAATGTGGAATAGCTGGGCTCGGTGGCTCAGCCTGTAATCCCACGCCTTTGGGAGGCTGAGGTGAGTGAATTGCCTGAGCCTACAGGTTCGAGACCTGCCCGGGCAACTTGGAGAGACCTCATCTCTGCAATAAATCAAAAAATTAGCCGGGCATGGTAGCGCGCGCCTGTAGTTCCAGCTACTTGGAAGGCTGAGGCGGAAGGATCGCCGGAGCCCAGCAGGTCGAGGCTGCGGTGACCGGGAGTGGCCACTACACTCCAATCTGGGCGACAGAGTGAGACTCCAACTCAAAATAAATAAATAAATAAATAAATGTGGAAGAAATAAAACAAGACTCCAATGCCTGCTCAAGTAGCAAAACACCAGGTGGAAGTCAAATTCCTATTGCACAATATGTCTTAGTGAACCTGCAGTGCATGTTGGTGACTGTTTCACACATTACCACAAGTTTAAAAAATGTAAGATATACAATTTTAGGGCAGGATGCAGTGGCTCAAGCCTGTATTTCCAGCATTTTGAGAGACTGAGGCAATAGGTTTTCCTGAGTCCAGGGATTTGAGACTACTAGCCTTGCCAACTTGGTGAGACCTCGTCTCTACAATTTAAAAAAAATTAGCCAGACTCGGTGGCTCAGCCTGTAATCCTGCGCCTTGGGAGGCTGAGGTGAGTGGATTGCCTGAGCCTGCAGGTTCGAGACCCGCCTGGGTAACTTGGTGAGACCTCATCTCTACAGTAAATCAAAAAATCAGCCGGGCATGGTAGCGCGCACCTGTAGTTCCAGCTACTTGGAAGGCTGAGGCAGAAAGATCGCCTCAGCCCAAGAGGTCGAGGCTGTGGTGGCCATGTGTGAGCCAGTGCACTCTAGCCTGGATGACAAGAGTGAGACTCCAATGCCAAAAATAATAATAATAATTGGTTTCAGTGCTATAGTATTTAATACAAAGTTATTTGTTTTTCACTATTTCTTTAAAAGTCCAGTTGAAGCTGGGCTCGGTGGCTCAGTCTGTAATCCCGCGCCTTTAGGAAGCTGAGGTGAGTGAATTGCCTGAGCCCACGGGTTCGAGACCCGCCTGGGCAGCAAGACCTCATCTCTACAATAAATTAAAAAATCAGCCAGGCGTGGTAGCGCATGCCTGTAATTCCGGCTACTCGGAAGGCTGAGGAGGAAGGATTGCCGGAGCCCAGCAGGTCGAGGCTGCGGTGGCCGGGAGCAGCCACTGCACTCCAGTCTGGGCGACAGAGTGAGACTCCATCTCAAAAAAAAAAAGTCCCGTTGAGTTGCTGGTAGGTGATTCGTGAGATGTCTCCAAGTGCAAATGGTTAAAAAATTATAAGAAGCCAGGCTCGGTGGCTCAGCCTGTAATCCCGCGCCTTTGGGAGGCTGAGGTGAGTGGATTGCCTGAGCCCATGGGTTTGAGACCCGCCTGGGCAGCGAGTCCTCATCTTTACAATAAATCAAAAAATCAGCTGGGCATGGTAGCGCATGCCTGTAATTCCGGCCACTTGGAAGGCTGAGGCGGAAAGATCGCCGGAGCCCAGCAGGTTGAGGCTGCGGTGGCCAGGAGTGGCCACTGCACTCCAGTCTGGGTGACAGAGTGAGACTCCAACTCAAAAAAAAAAAAAAAAAAATCAAAGCAAAAAATCTAACACACAAATAAATAACCAACAAGCCACCACCATGACTACCACCAACAAAACCATGAAACCAGAAACAGAGACTACTGTTACAGAAAATTACCCAGGGGTGTATTAGTAAGATCTGCATCTGAGAAAGGGAATTCTCCTGAGGTGGGAAGGAACAAGGATACATGCAGTTCTTGTAGATGTGAGTGGTTTCAACCCTATTTATCATTTACAGTGTTTTATTAGCTGGTTGCCTTTGTTTAGTTTGCTTCAGGTTTGTTTTTTTTTTTCTGGATTTTTGTTATTTTTCTGCTTAAACTGGATTTTGACAATATTTTGTACTTTCTTTCCTAAAGCATCTCATTCCACTGTGAGGCCTTGGTAGACCAGTCTGCCTAAGGTAACTGAATTTTAGTTGATTGACAATCCCATTGAGATTGAAGATTAGTACTTGTTAAAATCAATTCACATCTTTGCAGAACTGGAAAAAGTGTCTGAGTTGGACCAGTTGTGTGCCCATGCCAGAGCATTATTTTCTTTTTTCTTTTATTTATTATTTTTCTTTTGTCAGGTTCTTGTTTATAGACATTTTGTGGAGAAACAACACCAAGCAGAAAATGGCAGTTATTTTAGCAATTTGATTACGTTGGTTGCTTTCTTGTTAATTGGTTGTTTATATTAGTTTTCATAAGATTTCAAGGTATTACCTGCTCTCTTATGTAGCTTTGTTCTACTTTGTTAGTTTTTTGTCAGTTGTTGAGGTATGTGTTCTTCAAGAAATGACAAGCTACCTCAGAATTTACCATAATATTCACACTAAATGGACCTGCACTATATTCTAGATTAGCAATAAATTCTGATGAAATGAATAAGTGATATTGTAGAGAAATCTATTATATAAGCTTCAATCTTTGCCTATTCCTTTTCATGAATTATGACAAAGATAATATATAGAACATGTATGTGTTTTTAGTGAATTATGCTGAGAAGTTTTATATATATGAGACCCCCAAAATCTCAAAATTTATTTATGAAAATTGTATATTTATTATTACATGTTTAAACTTTAGTCACCTTTTAAGAACTTTCTGTTTGATGCAATACACCTATCAAGATGCTTTTTCCACTGCTTTAAACAGTTTTTAACTGATCAATTTTGATGTTTTGTAGTGCTTCTGTCATTTTTTGTTTCACCTTTTCCACATCAGCAAAACATTTCCCTTTGAGGACTCTTTTCTTCTGTGCAAAAAAGGAAAGTCACTCAGGGTGAGATCAAGTGAATGGGGAGGGTCACATGGGAGTCATGCTGTTTTTGTCAAAACTGCTGAGCATTCAGTGCAGTGTGGGCAGGTGCACTTGTAAATCACCCATCAAGAAAAGGGCTAAGGCGTTGAAAGAACCTCCCCTCAAAAATTCACTGAAGCAAACTCAACCTCTCACAACACTTGATGGTATACTGATGCTGATGGGTTCCTAGAACACTGGTCTAATGGGGAAAGCCTATACTACAAGGGGTCAGCTTTCCAAAAGATAATTCCAGTTTTTGGGGAATCCCTCTTCATATATATCTGTGTAATACATATATATATATATATATATATATGTATATATGTATATACACAGGAAGTACTTTAAAGTTGACTAAAGTTTATACATGTAAAAATAAATACACAATTTTCATAAATAAATGTTGAGGATTTGGGGTGTCATATATATGTGTGTGTGTAAAAATATATATATATATATGTATATATATATATATATATATATAAAACTTCTAACCATAATTCACTAAATACAGGTGCATGTTCTATTTATACACACACACACACACACACACACACACACACATATTTTAAAAATACTAAATAACATCTAGTAAATATCTTGAATATATACAATGGAATACATACCTGAGTAGTTAATGAATGTGAAAGATAGGAAAGACCAATGTGTGTTGTTTTAAAGAAAAAAATTATGAAAGGATAAGAATCAAACACATAATCTAGGCAATTAAAATAAAAATTGATTTCTCCTTTCCCCTCTTACCCTATTATTTCATTACTTATGATATCTTGTATTTATCCATACTGATCAGTCCCATATCTACTTAGATATCCTATTGTAGTGCTAACATATGTAGATATGTGTGCTTATAAATAGTTTGCAAATTATATTCATTCCTTTAAAACTAACCTAGAAGCAACGAGGGCTGCTGTTATTGTGGGTTATTTTTCCTGTACAAGAGATGACAGGAGAGGCAGAAACTATTTGGAGCTCAGTCTGAATTGCAGTTTTAAGCACATCTGATGTAGTGCATGTCTGGAGGTGGCATTTCTAACCTTTTTATCAACTGGGTTCCATGGATCAGAATAAATGATAACAATAGCTCACCACCTTCTGCAGGACAGATTCGCTACTTGAAAAATGATCAGGGCCCTATTAAGAGAAGCCACACCGCCCTAATGGGGAGCAGATCACAGGCCGGGTCTCTCTGCGCCTGTCTCTCTCTGTGTGAGGGGACATGACCTTGTCTGTCTTTTTCCCTGGAATCAGTTGAATGATAGACTTCTTTTCTTTTTCTGAATTGTTACAGCAAGGGGAGAGGAAGGATTGCAGATTTTTTTTCTTTTTCTTCAGAAAAGAGACATGGCCCATTTTAACATCCCCATTATCTATGTGTCCGTCCACAAAACCTCTATTTGAAAAAACCCTGTGGTTTCACAATGATGACAAGCCCTTTCCAATTTCAGTTTTCCTATCCACGGCA